TTTTTCCCTGAGGAGCTGTTTTGTTTGGCGTTTGTAGTTCTAAAAATAAAGTTAGTTTCTTTTGACAAGTGGCTCCTGAATTGTGCCTAGCCAGACTGCGGCACTCCCTATGCCTGGGTCTTAGAGCTGCCTGCCCACTGGCCCAGGTCTCCTGGCCCAGGGCCGGGGACCCTCCTGTGGGCTGCTTCCCTGCCATCCTGGTGAGCTTACCTGAGAGGACGTTCTGCAACGATGGCTTCTTGGATGAGCTCCGACTCCAGGTTGTCAATATGGAACTGGCCGGTCTGCTCTCAGCAGCAGAGAGCGAGGTGTGAAACACGGGCTGAGTAATCCCGTGGTGACACGGGGCAGCAGCACAAAATTCTGTGGACAACCTTCCGTCAGAGGCAGCTGCAAGGCTCTGCTGCCATCTGCTCCAGGCCATGGTGAGCTTTGTTTTTTCTCTCTTTAAAAAATGTGGGTATTTGAAGACAAGACAAATATTAGACTATCGATGAATTGTAATGTGAGACCTGTATTAAAAATGCAAGGGATTTTTTAGATTTTTAATTAATTTATTTATTTTTTGCTTTTTAAGCATGACTTGATTTGCAGTGTGCTTAACACCTGTGAGCACAGGCATGCTGCTCTGGTTTGGAAGTGGCTTGAGTGTGCCCCCAAGGGTCCATGTGCCAGAAGCCAGATCCCCAGCATGGCAGTGTGGCTGGGCCTCGGGGAAGGGGATTAGGTCTTTGGGGGCAGCATTCTCAGAAGGAAGGGGTTGACGGTTCTCATGGGACCCCCCTTGGTTCCCCTGAGAGTGAGTTGTATAAAGAACAAGCCTAGGCCCTGAATCCCTTGCTTCCTGGTATACCATGTGATCTCACCTTCCTGTACATGCTCCTGCCATGACGCTGTCCGCCATGTTGTCATGACCTGTAAGGCTTTCACCAGAGATCAAACCAAGGAGCCCACCCAATTTTGGACTTTCAGCCTCCACATGTGAACTCCCTAAACCTCTTTTCTTTATGAAATCATCTAGATTCAGGTATTTTGTTATAGCAACAGAAAACAAACTAAAACATATGCCATCATGGGGCCCAAGTATCATTTGAATTTTTCAAAATGCAGATCTCAGAGAAGGATTTAGCAAGTGTGTGTCAATGATGCTTTGAAGATTCGTTTTACTCAGCGATGAGTGAAGTGGCGGGACGGTCCAGTTGACTTAATGAGCACTTGAGGAACAGAGATTTATTCAGCCCATGGGAGAAATGGTGCTGGGATACACTTGCTTGCAGATAGATCTGGTAAGCATAAGTATGTACCATGAAATACTTGGGCTATCCTTATACTAGAAATGTGTCTGTGGCTTATCTGAAATTCAGATTTAACTCTCATACTGTGTTCTCTCTGGTGATCCTGACCTTGGGACCAGTCAGAGCAGGGAGAACAGAACGAGGGAGAGCGGGAAGAGGGGTGCTGTGCTCAGGATCTCCAGGGCTCAGTGTGGGGCAAACCATCAAAGGACAGTGCAGCCTGTGGAGAGGCAGCCAAGGAGAAGCCGGAGGCCAGGGCTGGCCCACAGTGTGCCCAGAGGAGGAAAGTCTGGGGCAAGGATTGTAAAAAGAAGTGGAGATTAAGCACAGGAGACAAGCACAGGCTGTTCACCCAGAGCTTGCTTGCACAAGGGGTTCAGCCCTGTCATGGCCCTGGCAGAGACTCAGAGGCAGGCCCAGGTGGGGGAAGGCACAGCTCCAGGTGTGCCCGATATGGGCGAGTGGAGTGGGGAGCTGCATGCCGTCCACCTGGAAGCAGGGTGTCCAATGGCATGGGTCTCATTGGTCCTGAGTTGGAAGTGGGAACCCAACACAGAGAAACTGTCAGCTACTAATCAAGTCCCAGCCGTCTGAGGCCATTTGTTGTCTAGCGCCCTGGTCTGTGCCTGCAGAGAGCCACCTGGAGCCCTGGCTTGCTTCCTGCAGCAGGTTGTAAATCTTCTGTGTCTCTGGGTCCAAGGAGGAATCAGTTCAGAGACAACCCCAAGGGCCCTGAGGCTGGTGGTGTCAATGATGAGACTGGCACGGTGCGGGGTGCGGACGAGGACAGAGCAGGAGGCACAGAGCCAGGCTGGTCAGGAGTCCCTCAGAGGAGGAGCGGGCCCGGCACAGTGGGCAGACTTGAGGCTGTCCCTATGCGGTGTGCACCTGGGGAATGCCTTCCTGTTCCCTGATGGCCTCTCTGCATCGTCACTGTGGGCTTGTGGGCTGGGGAGAGGATGAACAGATCACTCAGCACCCCAGAGGGAACTGCCGAGCCTGCTAAGCCAGGGAGCTGTCTTGTCTAGGGCACATTTAGGGCAACAGCGCCCCACCGTGTGGTTTTGCCCTCGGGGGTGTGGTAGCCCCCAGAGGCACTGCAGCCTCCGTGGAGGGGACGCTGCTGGTACTCCAGGTGAGGCCAAGATGGCCCTAAACATCCTGCCGCTCACCGAGCACCCCACAGAGTGTTCAAATCTGCTCAAAGGCCATGTCCTCCCTCCCCTTGGGCCAGGCATTGGGAAGCCCAGTTCCCACCTCTGGCCCATCTCAAAACACGCTGTTCCTAACCAGTGCTTTGAAATTTCCAGATTCCTGCCAAAAAGGTCAACCTTCCCAGTCTCACCTCTGGGCCACCTCACCAGTGAGATGAAGAGAGCTGTCCTGGTGCCTTGTGTGGTCAGAGAACCCAGCCACCAGGAGCTCGTGGGTGGCCTCTCACTAAGGCCAGGATGGAGCACCCCACCCTGCTTGCGTCCCCAGCCACACCAAGTGCTTAAGGTCCTGGTGGCCCAGCTCTCAATCTTCCAAGTCTGGGTCCACCAGTCACTCACTGGATTTCATGGCACCTCTGCCACAAACACTAGGTTCCCTGAGACAAAGGACGAGCGTCACTGTTGGTGTTCTCTGATCTTATTTCAGAAGAGGTCTAGACGAGCCCCCGGGGCACACGGAGGAAAATGCCCCCCATTTGTTCCCTCCCTAGTCCACGCCTGCCCTCGAACACCTGTGTATCCCAGGACGGGGACCATGACGTGGATGAAGCAGGCAGTCCCCAAGCTTCTGGAGCGTGAGCCCAGCAGGGCCACAGGTGTGTGGCAAGGGTGCCAGGGACAAGATGAGCCAGAGAGCGTGGGAAGACAGGTAGGGCCTTGTGGGGACACCCCCTGGGGCAGAGGTGAGAGGGCAGCCAATGAGGGAGGCTGAGCAGTGACGATGTTGGGGGTCACTCCTGACCTCTGTGGCTGGCTGCCAAGCAAGGCCTTCATGGGGAGTCAGCTCGCGCTGAGGAGCCGAGTCAGGGGAGGAGGCAGGGCAGAGGGTGGCCTCTGAGGGCCCTGGAGCAGGAGCCACGGGCAGCACAACAGGATGGCAATGGTTTCCCTAAACCAGAGAACCCGGGCTGCACCCACTGGAGCCCGAGGGCAGCTCGACTGGCAGGTAGACCTTGGGGAGGGCAGCCAGTGGGGGACGCTCAGCTCTTCCCTCCTGGCCCCCAGGAGTGACAGCATTGGCTTCCATCAGTGGTCACTGTGCTGCAGGGGCAGGCTTGTCCCAGAGTCAACCCGCCTGGCCTGGCCGGGGTGAAGGAGTGGAGGTGGACGGTGGGGCTGCGGGTCAGACCATGGCAATACCTGCCACTGCTTGGGCCACCAGGTGAGTGGCCAGACTGGCCAGGCAGGCGAGTCACAGAACTTCTGCCTTTGGTTCCCTCCAGGCCTCAAGGACAATGGCCGTCACTGTCCACCCCACGAGGCCCAGGGAGAGGGTCAGGGACAGGTAGTTCAGCCCGCCTAGTCTGACATCAAGAAGCCGTCCCCAGGCCTCCCCTGCTCTCATCCGGGGCTCTGAGGTCCCCACTGTGGAGAGGTGAGACACAGATGCGGAGACGCCTGCTTCCTGGTGCCGGGAACTGCTACTGAGTTTGTGCATCAGGGTGTGCTGCAGGCCTCCAACCTCTTTCTAGAATCCGTCTTCCTGGACGGATTGGAGTCCGACATTTTCAGTGTTGTAATTCAGGGGCCGAATCCCAAAGGCTTTCTTTCTTTCTTTTTCTTTTTTTGTACCAGGGATCAAACCCAGGGTTACTTAGCCACTGAGCCACATCCCCAACCCATTTATTTTATTTGTTTTTAATTTTGAGGCAGGGTCTCACTGAGTTGCTGAGGCTGGCTTTGAAGTACAACCCTCCTGCTGCTAGGAGTCCAGGCGGGGGCCAGCTGCACCCAGCCCCAAAGGCTTTTTATCTTCTTCAGAAGTTCGACAACTTCCCTTCCCTCTTTCCTTCCTCCATGTGCCCTCTGTGCCCCGCCTGCCCCCTGGAGCAGAGAGGTGCCACCCCGGCCTGGAGCACCCACCACTCACAGGGAGCAGGAAGCATCTCTGAGAAGACAAGCCCCTCTCCCCCGCTGGGTGCTCTGTGGGGAACCGACCTCAGGCCTGTGCTCTTGCTGTAAGTCTTCCCTGCGGCTGGGGCCTTTCTCTCTGGACCCCCTCCAGTGTGCTTACGGCCTCTCAAAATGTGGATCCCCAAGTTACAAGCATTTTCCACAAGAGCCTGAGAGGACTTAGCAGAAGAGATGAGTGCTCGCCGTCACTTCTGCGACTCGGCACCAGTTTTCCAACACTTCCCTGTGCTGCCTGCTGAGTGCTGGGGGCATGTGGAGTCCCGATGCTGAGCCCCATGAGCATCCCACTAAGCGGGAGGAACACCCGGGAAGCGGCCTTTGCTGTGCCATGAGCCACCAGGTCCTGGCAGCACCAGGCAGGGTGCAGCCTCCAGCCTGTCTGGGACTTTCATGGCCACCTGTTTTCTCCACTTCCCCCTTCCCACTTCCAAGCATGACATGCAAAATCCCGCTGCAGAGAGCCCTGTGCAGCCACACTCCTCTGCTTCACTTTGAATTCTTGGCATTTTTCTTAATTGACCTTTAACCTTTTAAAGACTTCTTTTTGTCTCTTTGCTCATTGATTTAATTAAAAATTTTTTTGACTTTTTTATTATGGAAAACTTTAAATATATGAAAGTTGGGGGAATGGTATAATGAACCTCATGGGTCATGTGGCCGTCACCCAACGGGCAGCAGCTTGATATAATCCTGTTATGTCCATGAAGATGTCCCCCGTCACCCCAAGCACCTCCTAGCATTCCATTCATAAGTTCCAGGAGAAAGGAGCACAGGATGTGTTTTGACTTAACAACCTTGATGTGATTTCCTCACCTGAAACAAAGTGCCAGGCAGGAGAGCTGAATCCTGTTATGCTCCAGTTAAAAAGAAACCCAGGCTTTTAGCATCTTAAAGGGCACATCATGCACATTTCTAGGAGACTGAAGGCTCCCAGAGGCAGGGCCCCTGTCGATCTGGTGCACAATGGGCTGCAGGTCAAGTGGCCTGCACTTAGAAGCACTCAGTAAGTGCCCATCAGATGAGTCCGCATGTCCAGAAAGAGACCATTCCCTGCCCAGTTGCACTCAGTCAATTTCTTTCCAACACACATTTCCCCTCCCTGCAGGGCTGCCCTTCTTGCTTAATAAACTGAATACTCCTTCAAAGAAGTCAACTTGTATTCTGTTTTATCCAATTGGAAGTTGTTCCTCAAATGAGTATCCAGCCCAGCTGTTCCTCACCCTGCCTGCCCACTAGGATCACCCGCGTGTCTTTGAGGAAACCCTGGGCCCAACCTAGAGAATCCGTCATGATAGGGCTGGGTGGGCAGGTCTCCAGAGGTCCTGAGAGGTGACCCTTGGGGAACCATTGCTCATCCTCAAAGCACCGATAGCACCCAGAGACAGGCAGGCTGGTTAGTGGAAATTACTGCTGGGCCTGCCTGCAATCATTCGCTTGACCCAGTTTTATGCCTTTCACGACCAGGCAGCAGCTGGAGCCTGACTACTAAGCAGCAAGCACAGCCTAATTGAAAACCACAAGGGGCCCCTTCCCAGGGAGATGGAGGGCTGGTGCTGGCCCTTCCAATTGCCTAGGTCTTATCAGTGAGGCTCCCCAGGTCTTAAAAACAGGCTGAGGCCACCAGAAAGGATGCCTTTTTATTCCTTTGACTTCTCGCAGTGGACTCGTCTTTGCCACCAGGCTCAATAAGCCGAGCTGAGGACTCAGGCCCCGGCCTCATCGCTGTTTTTTCAGGGTAAATCAGAGTCAGTGAGACTCCTCTAATGTGTGGGCCACCACGTTCTGAGATGGCCCCCAGCCCCTGTGGGGCAGACCCTGCATCATTCCTGTCCCTGGAAGGCAAGCAGAACCAGGGATGTGACAGGAGGCATGCCTGTTCGGCTCCTCATGAACTGACTGCGAGTTAATCTAGAGTGAGATTGTCCTAGGGTGGAGGTGCAGGAGGGCTTCAGCCCCAGGATGGGGTCTGGACCACCCTCTGCCTGGGCCTCAGACTCTTCCAGGCCCACCTGCCCCTTACCCCAGATGGGACTTTGCACGTCTGCTTCCTCTCACAAGGCCCCTTGGGCCCCTGGTCTCTGCACAGTATCTGCATTCGAGGCCCTTCTCTTCCATGCCCACTTACACATGACGAATGAAGGTTTGCAGAACTTTGCAACTTGCCTAAAGGGTGGGCTCTGGGTTTGGAAGGTCACATTGTCATGGCTGAAGTCTGTCCCTTCATGGCAAAGCACAGTCTTGAGCAAATGACTTCTGAGGAGAAAGAGGAAGGAGTCGGCTCTCAGAGTTGCCCAGAGACGGTGCCACCCTGAATTTCAGTGTCCCTGGGTCTGCACTTGGCCCTAGTCAGTTCTGAATGTCTGTGGAGATTGTGTACCCCTCCCCTCAACTTTCTACCTGGAGTTACAATGGGAAAATTTGTTTCTTGTAATAAAGTACCTTAAATAAAACCAACTACCAGATTACTGTCTTATTATATTTTTTCATTTATTTATTTTCCTCATTGCATAAGAAATTCCAATGCAAAGTCCAATTACAAAGAGGAAAAAACAGGAACACAATTTAAAACAGTTCTTTTTTTTTTTTTTTTTTTGCTTTGAATTGACAAGTAACAATTACATATATTTATGTGATACAATGTGATCGTAGGACAGGGTATGCCTTATGAAGTGATTAAATCAAGCTGATTTGTGTATCTATCTTGCGTATATATCATTCCTTCTTGGTGAGAACATTTAAAATATTTTCTTTAGCAGTTTTGAAATACACCATGGATTGTTATTAACTATTGTCACCATGCTGTGCAATTGATCACTAAAATTTATTTTTCTGTCTGACACTGTATATCACTTTTTTTTAAAGCACAAATCAATTAACATACTATTTATTTCTTATTCATTTAACTTTGTCTCCTGTATCAAAATGTTATTTGACTATTGGCACCCAGAGTTTGGAATCTGCAGAAACATCACATGGTGAACATGTTGGTGTAACTTTCTGACTGTGTAGATTTCACTGAGTACATGAGCCTCACTTATTCTAGGGTATCATGAAGTCTGTTCTGTGCCCAGTTTCCCTGTAACAGTGAGTTTTCAGTGCTTGTTCTCTAAAGCTCAGGCAGTTTTCCCTCCCAGTGAGTCTGCACTCGGAGGTGGAAACCCTATCCCAGGAGCACTATCAAGCCTGAAGTGTTTCCAGAAATATTCCAGAGTTGGCAAATGCTCACTGATAAATCCATGGGCTGGTTCACTGCAAATCTGTGAGAGTGCTATGAGGAAGAAAGATCTGGATTTTTATGAGCCATTGTTGCTAATCCTAATTGCAGATTGGATTTCCTCTGGCTGCCATGGCTAATGCAATGGCTGGCCTCAACCCTGAGACTCAGATTTAATTGGCCTAGGTGAGTCCCTCATGAGCAATCTCTTTTTTTTTTTTTTTTTAATTTATTGGTGAAGGAAATCCAATCCAGGGCCTCAGGCGTGCTGGGTAAGCTTGCTACCACTGAGCTACATCCTCAGCCACAGAAGCATTTTTTTAAAAGAATTCCCCAAGTGATTCTGATTTTCAGCTGAAGCTGAAGAACACTGGGCTCATATAAACCAGATGCTGGTTCATAGATTGATAATTTATAAGATGCCCTCTTGCCTTGTTTTGAATTTCTTCCCATCTTGCTCACTGGGATGGGTAGGTTAATTTGTGGGACCAATGGGCTGAAAAAGAAAAAATTATTTGAGGTTTCCCATCGATGGCTCACTTTATGAGCCAGGTCTGACCTGGACACCTAAACTAAATAACATCAGTACAAGAAAGTCAAATTGCAGGCCCATCTCCCTTGGGAAGATGGATTCAGAGATCCTAAAAAAAAATATTAGTACCCTACAGTGTTAAAGATGGTCATAATTGATACTTAGGAATCGCTTAGGAAGCTAAGGATGATTGATGCCTAGGAACCCAAAAATTTAATATAAGAAAATCCAAAAAGGATCATCACTTTGAAAGAGAAAATCATCTTAGTAAATGTAGAGAAGCAGCTGATAAAATTACCCATTCCTAATAAAAAATAAAAGCTTTATTTTAAACCAGGATTAACAGTAAATGTTTCTGACCTGGTGCTATAGTATGACTCTTGAATGTCTCCCCAAGGCGCATGTGCTAACGGCTTGGCCCCAGCTTGGGGCACTGTGGGGAGGTGGTGGCACCTTTAGGAGATGGGGTGTTGTGAAGGATATTGGCTCTAAGTGTTTTTGCATGAATGGGTGTGTGATTTTTAGGGTTTTCTACAAATGAGATAATATCATTTGCAAAAAGAGATCCTTCTTGCTTTGGTGTTCTGGTTAGGATGTAAATTGTTCAAAATACATAGACAAAGAAAATATGTTTGAACAAAGGTATGTACGTCTAATACTTAAAAAAGAAGCAAAGGCATAAAGAACTCCAAATTCCAGATAATGGTTGCCTCTGGGAACAGAGATTAAGAGCCTGGGGAGAGGGCACACAGGTGTGGTTATCTGCAGAGCTCTCCTCCTTGGGTGGAGTGGCAGGCTAAGGGTGTCACCACAATACATGATATGGACAAACAGATACACGTGAAGGGCCCTACTGATGTTTTAAGGTGAATTGAAAACTATGCTGACCCCAGGTATGTTCATCTGAGCACACTCTAAAAAAAGAAAGCAGCAAGAAGAAGAGAATGGAAACCTCTTCTTAGTTGACTTGTCACCTACCAAGAATCTCAGGAGCAAATGCACTTTTTATAAAGTTTGTGATTGGCCTCAACTTCAAAATCCATCTTCCAAGATCGACAGCCACTCTTGATTCTAGGGGCATATTGTGAAAAAATGTCAGAGTCTTGAAATATAGTGCAATGAAGTCTTTCCAACAATCTTGATTATCCTCGCGTAGTGGTGCATCTTTTCTTCCTCGCTAGTCCTGAACTTAGATTCCGAGTCTGGATGGAGCCATTGTGCGACTGTGAAAAACCTCCCTGAAACAGGTTTGATTTTTTCTCTTTCTGGGAATGGACAGGAGCCTTGCATCCCCAAGGGTCTGGTATAGCTGAGGCCCGGAGACCAGGCTCTGCAAACACCGGATGGTTTGAGGATATCTCTGCTCCCTCGACAAGGACTTCCTTCCCATAAAACTGCCCAGCCCCGGCCTGTTCTCTGCTGGTGGCTGACCCAGGCTGACCCCTCTAAGGAGTTCTGAGGTGACTGACTCTCCTTGTCATGGGAGCACATTAGCCTGCTTGACATCTGGATGTCTTTTTCAGTGATACTATTAACCCAGTTGATTTTTATTCATCCATTTAACTCTGACTTACACTCTATGTGGAAGTTATTTAATGATCAATTATTAAAACAACCCTGCTCAAGCTCAAATATTGGGTCTTTGAGCAAACAGTTTTACATTGAACAAAGAAAGAACCTGACAGAAAACAGGATGCTAATGAACAAACTGGATAGACTTTCTCAGGTATTAGCGAGTGGCCCTCAGGGCATGCTTTGCAAATGGACATTTTAAAATTTAATGATCCTTTAAATGACCTCCCTTCTTTCTGCTCTAGCACATGATGTTGGCGAAGGATGACAGT